AACATGTTTATTCCCATTTAGAAAAAAAAAGGTGATCTGATAAAGTGTAGAAATTATTGAACCAGTTGGACTAATACCACAAACAAGCAAAATTCTGCTGAAGATCAGTCAAAAATGACTGGAACAGCACAGTGACAAAGAACTACCAGCTGTACAAGCCAGATTTAGAAGAGACTGTGACACTAGGGATTTCACTGCAAATGTCAGATGGATCTTCACTGAAAGCAGAGAGTACCAGAGGAATGTCTGTATTCCATCAACTATGCAAAGATATTTGACCATATGGGTCACAACAAATTGTGGCTAACCTTTAGAGAATGGGAATCCAAGAACACATGACTGTGCTCATGAAAAAACTACTCTTAGACCAGATAGGATTGTGTTCATGAGAAACCTATTCTTAAACCAGGAGGTAGCTGTCAGAAAAGAGCAAGGCAACACTGCATTGTTCAAAATAAATCAGAAGCAGTAGAAACAACTAATACTTTAAATGTTTGTGGCCTGTGGTATTACTGTTATCTACCGCAGGGTCAAGTCTGAACCATGAGTGACCATGTATGTTACAGAAGAACTTGTGCTCCATAAAAATTTCAAAGCACATTGCCAGGACTGTCTTCCGAAGTATTCGTACCAACAAAGGACTTCGTTATTGCCTCTAATAGTCAACTATCCAAATATGTGTCAGTAATAGGAATTTAAAAAAGAATTGTATTGGGAAAGTCTGCTATCAGGGGCCTCTCCAAAATGCTGAAAATCAATGATAATAATACATACAAAACAATTGAAAATATTATAGCTTGTATTAGACACATTTTAGTCTTTAAGCTGATATCCTCTCTCATTAGCGGTTTAAAGAAGCCCTTGTCAACAGATTTTCCCAATGCAACATATCTTTGGAGTTATTGACTATTGCTGCCATAGGTGTTGATTGTAAATCTAGATACAATTAAACTCTTGACAAATTCAATTTTTTGTCCATCTATCATGAAGTCTCTTATTGGCCCACTGGTAAGGAATTTTGTTTCTTTGATACTAAGATGTAACTGATAATGAAGGCTGTAGTCTTTGATCTTTTCTGTAAGTATATCAAACTTTCTTCACTTTCTGTAAACTATATGTGCTGTCTGCATATGCAGGTTGTTGACGAGTCTTTCTCCATTCCGAACACCCCATTGTTCTTCATACACTCCAGGTCCTTGAATTATTTACTCAGGATACACATTGTATACGTATGGAGGAAGGATACAACCCTGACATACACTTTCCCTGATTTGAAGCTATATACTGTGAAAAAGCTTTTGACTATGTGGATCACAACAAATTGTGGCTAACCTTGAGAAGAATGGGAATCTCAGAACACTTTATCGTGCTTATGCAAAACCTATACTTGGACCAGAAAGCATTCTTCAGAACAGAACAAAAAAATACTGCATGGTTCAAAATCAGAAAAGGTGTGTGTCAAGGATGCTTCTTATCTCCATACCTTTTCAATCTATGTGTAAAACAGATCATTTGGGAGGCTAGACTTTACGAAGAGGAATGTGGCATTAGAACTGGAGAAAGACTCATCAACAACCTGCGTTATGCAGATGACAAAGCTTTGCTTGCTGAAACTGAGGAGGACCTGAAGTACTTGCTTCAGAAGGTCAAGGACTGCAGCCTTCAATATGGATTGAAGCTCAACATCAAGAAGACAGACTGTCACCACTGGGCCAATTGGCAGCATCAGGATGGATGGTGAAGAGATTGAGATTGTTAGCAGCTTCAGCTTGCTTAGCTCCACAATCAGCACTCTAGGTACCAATAGCCAGGAAATCAAAAGACAAATTGCTCTGGGAAAGTCAGGGACCTCTCCAGAATACTGAGGAACAATGATGTCAACCTAGGGATTAATGTGTGTCTGGTCCAAGCGATGTCTTCACAACTACTGGTTACACATAAGCAAACTGGACAATGACTAAGGATAATAGAAGAATAGAATCCTTTGGGTTGTGGTGTTGTTATTGAATACACCATGGACTGCCAAGAGAGCAAACAAGTCTGTCCTACAGAGAGTGAAACCAGGCTGCTCCTTGGAGCCAAGGATTTTGAAGTTACACCGCATATACTTTTGGCATGTGGCCAGGAAGGACCAGACCTGTCCTTGGGGGAAAAAAACATCATGTTTGAAAAAGTGGAAGAGCAGTGGAGGAGAGGAAGACCCCAGACAAGATGGATTGACACCGTAACTGGACTAATGGGAGTAAGCGTGTCAGAGATGATTAGATCAGCTCAAGATAGCACAGGGTTCAGAGCTCTTGTACATAGCGTCGCTATGTGTGGCAAGCAAACCAATGACACATAACAACAACAAAAAAATGTACCTTTGTTTTGTTTGCATCATTCTTTCTTGGTATATGTGTAAGTTTTGAATGAGCACAGTTAAGTTTCTGTGATTCTCATTCTTCTCAATGTTAACCATAATTTGTTATAATCCACACCACTAAATGTTTTTACATACTCAATAAAACACAAGCAAACTTCTTTCTCGTATTCTCTGTTTTTAGCCAGGATCCATCTGACAACAGCAATGATATTCCTCTATCCATGGCTTCCTTTGAATCCAGCTTGAATGTCCTGCAATTTCTTGTTTGATATACTGTTTCTTGTTGACATAGCTATTTTTTAATACCCTTCAGTAAGATTTTACTTGCATGTAATACTAATGATATTGTTTGATAATTTTGGTACTGTTCCATAATCCCTTTTTTTTGAGTGGAAACAAATATTAATCTCTTCTAGTCAGCTGGCCAAGGTAACTGTCTTCCAAACTTCTTTGCATATGGTAGAGAGCACATCTTGGGCCACATCTGTTTATTGAAACACCTCAAATGGTATTCTATAAATTTCTGGGGCTTTGTTTTTTTTTTTTTTTTGCAACTGTGTTTAGCACAGCTTTAATTTCATCCTTCCGTGTCATTGGTTCTTGATCATATGCTACTTCCTGAAATGGTCGAGGACTCATGGGGGCACTGAGGGTCAAACAGTTCTTTTTGGTACAGTGATTCCGTGCATTCCTTCTATCCTCCCATGATGTTTTCGGCATCATTCAAGATCTTGCCCGACAATCTTTCAGTAGCAGCCTGAGGTTTGTTTTGACTTTGCCCTTCAGTCCTTTTAGCATAAGAAATTCCAAATGTGTTCCTCCTTTTTTATTTTCTAACTCCCGCTCTTTGCACATTTTGTTATAATACTTTGCATTGGCATCTCGACTTTCCCTTTGAAATCTTTTGTTCTGCTCTCACTCTGCAGTATTTCTTTGTTTTGTCCTCTCTACATTCTATTGCAAGTTTCAGACTCTCTTCTGGCTTCCGTGGTCTTTTCTCCCTTTGTCTTTTTAAGGACACTTTTGTTTCTTCAGAGTTCATGCCTTTGATGTCATTCCACAACTCACCTGATTTTGAGTCACTAGTGTTCAACATATTGTATCTATTCTTGAGACAGTTTTAAAATTCAGTTGGAGTGAGACTCAAGGCCATCCATGTTTTAGTTCTTATGACTTGTTTTAATTTTTTTTATTTTGACCTTCAGTTTTAACTTACACATGACTAATTGGGAATCTGTTCTGAAGACAGTTTTTTGTTGTTGTTTTTTAAATTGACATTTTAATGAAAGTTTATAGAGCACTTGGATTTACATTCATTCACTGTTGCGCATTTTCATCCCTGCCCACTCCCACCAGTTCACTCTTCTCTTTGAAAAATATTATTTCATTGTTGTATACCCCGAAACGCCACCAAGTTCATTTTGCTGTGCAGCTCTTATTCTGAACTGTTGTCATACAAGTAACATCTAATCATATACTTCTTTTAAGCAGTTCTATTCCTCATCTGTTTCAGTGCAGATGTGATGTGTACATTACTTATCCCCTTTTCTTAGTTTCCCCTCAACTCTCATGTCAGTTCTGTTTTATAACAGTGGTATTATGCAGTATTTGTCTTTTTGTTGCTGAGATATTCCACTCAGCTGCTCGTTTTGACTGCAGATATTGAGTTTCTCAACTATCTCTTCCCCTAGAAGTAGTCATTTTGATTTTGATGTGATCCATCATGTGAGGTCAACATCTGTATTCACATTTACATATTTTAAAAATGAGAGCACTTATTAGACACACAATCATATCACTTGATCTCAAGTCTTATATCTGTCACCAAGGCCATATTTTCTACCATTGTTTCCTTATATCCAACTTTTTCATTCCAATTACCAAATGTTATTAATGCATTTTGTTAGCATGTTCAATCCATTTCAGATTGCAAAAGGTGGTAGAAATTATCAAATTCTTAATTATTGGCTAGTTATTGGTGTGTAAATTTGACTAATAGCTATGTCAAGTCTCCTCTGTATGTACATAGATAATATCCAATCATTATGGAATATTGTTGTGAATTGTACTTCAGGATAGATCTTGAGGTGGGAATTATTTTTTTTTAACCAGGAATGTGACACCATACCGTTTCACCTTCACTCCCAGCATAACATACCTGATTCAAAGGAGCCACTATCAGTCCATCTTGACGAATATCTAGATGCTGACCTTTATGTATTCCATTTCATTTTTTTTTCTTGTTGTGTACTGTCGAGTCAGATCTGATTGCCACAGAGGAGATTGCCCGTCCTTCTCCAGTAGAGCATCTGGTGGATTTGAACCACACGCTTTCTGGATTGCAGCACAGCTTCTTGCCACTAGGCCACCAGAGCTCCCTACCATTTAATTATTTTAATTTTTTATTTTACATGGCTTACATTTAAAAGGCATACACATTGTGTTTTATTTCTATACATTATGTTTCATATATTCCTCTGTTCACACTGCGTTTCACTTTTTCATCCCCATATATTGTGTTTTATAAAATCACTGACCTCTGATCCATGGCCATCATTACCCCACCTACTGTCAAAGGGAAAAAAGACACCTTTTCTCAGTTCTGCGTCAAGAAATTTCCCCAATTGTGACTTACCTGCTCATTGACCCTTTTACAGAAAATGGCAAGTAGGTACACAGCACCAACTGGAGGCGCAAGGTAGCTATTAATTGATGCCAAATATTGCATAAGTTGTCCGTTCTGAGACATTTGAAGCAATGGTATCCACAAAATGCTGATAGCAATCAATAGAATGATAAACAACCTGGGAAGAAAGGATAATTGTTTCACTAGTAAGCTGGCACATCACTAGTCTCTACATTGTGCTTTTCGTTCTTGTGTTCTTTCCTGCATTCATTCACTAGTTTCCCCCAAACAAAACTCAGTCCTTGACTTTGCTTGATATTTATCTTTTAGTGGAATGCCAGTAAAACAGTTGTTTGACTATAATTAACAATGATATCTTCATCTATGTGATTATATACACATTCCTCAAAACAGTTCAAAAGTCAACAGTTGATTAATCATTCCCTAATGCAAATAAAGAAAGTGAAAAGGCTTGAAACGCTTGGTGCAGAAGATCAAAGCCTACAGTCTTCAATATGGATTACATTTCAACATCAAGAAAACAAAAGTAAAAGAAAATAAAAATCCTCACCACTGGACCAATAGGAAACATGATAAATGGAGAGAATTTGAAGTTGTCAATGATTTCATTTTACTTGGATCCACAATAAACACCCATGGTAAGAGCAGCGAAAAAATCCAAAGATGTGTTGTCAGTTTAAAGACTAAAGTAGGCCTGATCCAAGTCGTGTTCTTTTTCAGTTACTTCCTAAGCGGAAGAATTGATGTCTTTGAATTGTAATGTTGAGGAAGAGCACTAAATAAACTATATCAAAAGAACAACTAAGTCAGTCTTGGATGAAGCGCATCCCCAGTGCACCTTACAGGCAAGGAGAGTGAAACTTCATCTCATATACTTTGGACATATCGTCAGGAGGGACCAGTCCTTAGGGAAAGGACATTATACTGGGAAATATATTGTTGTTAAGTGTCGTCGAGTCAAGCACGACTCATAGTGACTCTATGAACAAGACCTGAACCCTGTTCTGTAACTATCATCACTTCTCTATGCTCATAGAGTTTCCATAGACATAGGGTTTAGGAAGTGGATGTCCCTCCTGCCTCCAATGGGAAATATAATAAATAATGTAAGGTGGATTGACAAGATTGACTGTGACAATGGGATCCAATATATCAGAGCTGGTGAGGACAACACGAGATAGGGGAAAGTTCAAACCTATTGTTCATAGGGACATTATGACGTCCAGCTGACTTGATGACATGTAACAGTAACAGTACTAAAAAAGCTTGCCTATAATTTTACAATGAGGCACTGGTAGCTTAACGGTAAGGAGCTGCACTGCTAAGCCAAAGGCCCACAGTTGGAACCCACCGGTTCTCAAAGGGAGAAAGATGGACAGTCTCCTCCCATACGACTTAGCATCTCGGAAAACCTGCTAGAAGGTTATTTCAGCTCAACAGTATTTGACATAAATTAACAATATAATTTTACAAGTGCTTTGGGGGTGTAGTCCACAGGGAGTTGTGCTGTTAACCCAAAGGCAACATCTCTCTGGCGGTTCAAAGCCACCAGCTGCTGCAAGTGGAAGAAGAAAGGCACTTTCCTCCTGTGCTGTTTACAACCTCCCTGAAACGTGTTGGAGGGTCATCATTGAGTCCGTCCCACCTCAGCATTGATAAATTGAGTTTTAATACAATGTATGTGATATGTCAATTCTAAATAAATGCATACTAGTTCTTTTTTTTTATTATTTTTTGCCTAGATTGATGACAAATTGAGGGGGGTTTTCCATAGTTCGGAATTAATGCAGCTTCTTTCTCAGAAAATTGGACTATTTCTCAATTAAAAGATGCTAATTTTTGTACATTACAAATCAAGTTTCAGGAGAAGTGTTGCATTTGGGCGAGTCTGCTGTCAGGGACGTCTCCAAAATACTGAGCAGCAAAAGACTGATGTCGTTTTGAAGACTACGGTGCACCTGTTTAGGCCATCGTCTTTTTAACCACTATGTTTCTGAGACCTGGACACTTAATAAGGATGACAGAATTCTTCTGAAGAATGTTGGTTGAGCTGTGATATTGGGGAAGATCACGGAATATCCCGTGGTCTTCCAAATGAGCAAACATCTGTTTTGGAGAAAGGGCAGCCAGAATGCTCCTTGGAGGCAAAGGCAATAAAGCGTCATCTCACATACTTCAGGCATATTGCTAGGAGAGGCTATTCTTTAAAAAGGAATGTCATGCTTACACCCTCAACAAGAGAGACCAACAAAGTTACTCTAGCAATGGGGTCATGCATGCCAGAGATGATGAGAACGGCATAGGGCAGGATTCAGATCTTGTTCATAGGGTTGTTATATGTTGCACCCAACAGAACTTAGCAACGACGATCAGGTTTCATTTCCTGGTATGAACCTGAGTTGATTCAATGGCACCTTACAACAGTGACAACAGTCAAATAAATAGTTCTGAAAAATAGAGAGAATTAACATGTTGCTGAATTAGTAAAAATATATTCATCTTGGCTGTTTAACCTCAAGGTTGGCAACAATAACACACAAGTTGCACCATAAGGGAAAGATGATGCAGTCTACTTTCATGAAGAATTACAACAACAGAAACATTACGGGGCAGTTTGATTCTGTCTCAGGAGGTTTCAATAAGTTGGAATAACTCAGTGGCAGAGGGTTTGGAGCCCAGGAACTAGCACTTATTTACCTATATCAACACCGCAGTACTCAGTACTTACGTCAACAAATACAATAAGACCTTGTGGTAAGAAGCTGCTCTGCAATCTCAAAGGCATGCAGTTCAAACCCACCAGGTGCTCTGCAGAAGGATGGTCAGTCTCCTCATATGAGATTGAACGTCTCTGAAAACACACTGGAGAGTCAGCAGTGAGTCAGTTCTGACTCAATGGCATGTACACCAACACAACAAACTCAACAACTCAAAGGCACATGGTTCAAATCCACCAGCTTCTCTGGGGGGAGAGATGGGTAATTTCCTCCAGTGGGACCGGCTGCCTCTGAAAACCTACTGGAGGGTCAGCTATGAGTTGGTTTTGACTCCAGCGTAAACAACAACAATAACAGTATTGCAACTTTCATATTTCAGTTGCTTGTGTGCTGCCAACATGCTAGAAGCTGTTGTTGTTGTTGTTAAGCACCATTGACTAGACAATGACTCATAGTGACCCTGTGAACAATGGATCTGAACCCTGCCTTTCCCTGTGCCGTCCTGACCACCTATGACATACCTAAGCTCACTGCTACAGTCACAGTGTCAGTCCATCTCCTGAGGGCCGCCCTCTCCTTCACTGACCCTCCACCTTTCTAAGCATGATGTCCTTTTTCCAAAGAAGAGTCTCTCCTAACAACATGTCCAAAGTATATGAGATGCCCAAAGTATCCTTGCCTTCAAGGAGCACCCAGGCTGCACCTTTACAACACAAAATTGTCTTTTTTGGCAGTTCATGGGATATTCAGCACTCTTCTCTAACACCACAACCCAAAGACATCAATTCTTCTTCTGTCATCCTTATTTACTGTCGAATTGTCAACTACAATCAAGTAAAGCAACACTTCTTTTAATTTCCTAGCTGTTAGTGCCAATAGATTTTGGATCCAAGCAAGATTAAATAATCTGTAGTTTCTACTTATTCTCCAAGTATTATGATGTTGCAAGTTGTTGATGATGCCTGACCAATTGATTGGAAGAGATTAATATTTGTTCTCCTTTCTCAAAAGGTGATCCAACAGAATGTAGAAAGTACTGAACAATATCATTAATGTCACAGGCAAGTTAATTATTTCTGAGGATTATTTAAAAACAGCTAGAATAGTATGCAGACAGAGAGCTATCAGAAAATTAGTCTGGATTTAAAAGAGGCCATGGGAGAAGGGATATCATTGGTGATGTCAGATGAATTTTAGCTGAAAACAGAGAATACCAGAAGAATGTCTATTTGTGTTTTATAGATTTTGCAAAGGTCTTTGACTGTGTGGATCATAAAACATTATGGCTGACACTGAGAAGAATAGGAATCTCAGAATACTTAATATTACTCCTGAGAAACAAATATCTAGATCAAAAAACTTGAAAGAGTAGAGCCAGGGAACACCATATGGTTTAAAATCAGGAAGGGTGTATATTAGAGCTGTACCTTTTCTCAAAACCTATTCAATCTGCATTCAGAACAAATAATTTGAGTAGCTGAACTACATGAAGAATAATGTGGCATCAGAATCAGAGTAAGACTAGAAGCTAGGTGACCTGTATTACAAATATCAGTTGTTATATGCCATCAAATCAATTGCAACTCATAGTGACCTTATATACTAAAACCCTGAACTCTGGTCTATCTTGAGCCAACTTCATTGTCTCTGAAACATATACCCTCATTACCCTAGTCACTGAGTCAATCCATCTCATCCAGGGTGTTCCTCTCCTGTGCTGTTCTTCCACCCTTCCAAGGATGATATCCATCTCCAAGGACTGGTCCCTTCTGGTCACATTCCCAAAGTATGTCAGACAAAGCTTCAAAACCCTTGCCTCCAAGGAGCAACCTAGTTTCACCCTTTCCAGGAGAGATCTGTTTGTTCTCTTAGTAGTCCATGGTATATTCAATATTCTTCTCTAGCACCATAATTCAAAGGCATTGATTATTTTTCTATCATCTGTAGTCTTTGTCCAGATCTACAATGCATAGTAAGTCATTGCAAAGATCATGGCCTGGATTTAGCACACCTTAGTCTCTAGGTTTACATCATTGCTCTTCAGTACTCTGGAGAGGCCCCCAACAATAAATTTTCCCAATACAACTAATCTTTTGATTTCCTGACTTTATCCAAGAGTGTTGATTGTGGGTAAATATCAATAGGATCACCCATAATGGACGGATTTCAGTGAAGCTTCCAGACCATAACAGAACAAGAAGCAATCTGACCATACACTTCTCAAATAATTGGCCATTTAAAACTTATGGATACCAATGAAATATAGTGACAAAAGATGATACTCTCCAGGTGGAAAAGATTGAAAATAACAATGAGCAAACAACCTCCTTCCAAAACCAAACCAAATGAGATACTTTCCCCCACTCTTATATTCTAAAAGGGAGCTTTTGTCACCTACTGAGTCAGAAGTTGCACTGCCAATGCAAAGGCTGGCAGGTAAAATCCACCAGCTTCTCTGTGAGAGAAAGACAGGCCATTTTCTCCCATGTGATTTACTGTCTCTGAAAACAAGGGTCAACTATGAATTGGTTCTAACTCAGTGACACATAGGACAATAACAGTAATATAGATAGAGTTTCACTAGAACCAAAGATGACAGAGCTCTGGAAACTAGAGTTCTCTCACCGTCCAGCTATAAGAAGCTCTTTCTCTGATGCTTGTTTCCGCATCTTGGTGTAAAGGTCCATGGTGAAGAGGGTGCTGGCGCTGTTGAAGACAGAAGTCAGGGAGCTCATGAGTGAGGCCAACATGACTGACAGCATCAGGCCTCTGAGTCCTGTGGTCAAAAGAGGATACACACTAATAAGGGGCTGTGGTGTCAGTAACCTAGAAAATTGTTTTTTCTTTCCCTTGCATTAGATCCTGATGGGGGCATGGTCTCCAACTACCTTAACTGAGGGCACATGGTCTTGGAAATCATAAACAGCTGTGAGACCAGTATAAGAACATGCTTCCCACATTGTGAAAAATGGGGAAAGGGAGATGAAGAGACAGTGGCACTAATATGGCAAGGTGTAACCAGAGGAACTCTGGAGATGAAACCACAGTTAAAGGTTTTGATTGCTGGATAACTGAAGGAAATACAGACTTGTAGCTATTCTGATATAAAGTTAAAGATAAACGATTAAGGAAACTACTCTGAGATAAAGTTAAAGATAAATGGTTGAGGAAACCAAACGTTAAACTGTGCTGCTGAATTGAATCTAGACTTTCACTAGTTGACTGAGAAGCTGTCTGAACTAATCGGGGAATTGTATCTTGCTGTTAATCTGGCTTGGGACTGCTGGACTATACCTGGACTTGCATTGTGTGATGTTCTTTGCCTCCCCTCCTCCCTCGTCTATTTCTCTAAGAAATTTCACAACTGTGAGTAAAGTCTGTGAGTCAATTTGCAGTGAACATTGGACTGAATGATTAGTAGAAATAAGTACAAAAGGCTGAGGGTGGCGTGTCTGACCATGTAGCTACTTGTATGGTACCATAGATATTATTAATGAGAACACTTTTCCTTTCTGAATCAGGTAGAGGTCAGACTCGGCCATCCCCATGTTACATCAGGGGCTTGATGTCTACAATGACTTTATTGAACCAGAGTCACTCAAAGATTGAGAAGTCATTGGAAAGATTTACTAGCATATTTGTTTCTATTATTTAGGAATCACTGGCCTTAAGAAAGTAAGACAAATAGTCTATCTAGTCTTCTGAATTTATAATAGTTTCTAGGTATGGCACTCTTATTGACAGATAAGATACTGTGTTTCTAATTGGCTATAGGACAATCTTGAATCCAAATCCTTAAGCATTCTTCTAGCCAGAAATAGATCATGTTCATCTCTTTGCTCTGAGGGTCCCACCAAAGGCTGGATGTCTATAAAAGGCACTTTATAAATTATTCATAAATTGAATTATTAGTAAAAGACAGAATAGCCAAGGAGTTATTATTCCTCTTACTACTGATTCTTCTATAGTATAGGCCTCCAGGACAGTCCCAGCACAGACGTCTTCTTACCATTAGGCATCAGTTCCATCACCAGCAGGGGGTAGGCATAGTCACTGCAGCCAACCTCAGTGCCGCAGTGCTTCATACACTCAGAAGGTACGACACATGCCACCATATCTGAGGAAAGAATCAAAGGAGAATACAATGCATTCATACGAAACAGGAGTCACGCATGACCACAAGACAAAAAACAAGCTGTAGATTCACAAGGAAAAGTAAGTGACATCTAAAACATTAAGACTCAACACTAATCACGGATGAGTGTTCATATGAGGGACCTGGTTGATATGGGAACTGAACATGACTTTGTAAGTTCATTGTTGTTGTTGTTGTTGTGATGCGCAGTTGAATCACCTGCGACTCATAGCAACCCTACGCACAAAAGCCCTGAACCCTGCTCTATCCTGTGCCATCCTTATTGTCTCTGACACACCTACCCCCAATACCCCAATCACTTGAATCAATCCATCTCATCAAAGATCTTTCTCTCTTGTGCTGTCCCCTCCACTCTCCCAAGCATGACATCCCTCTCCAAGTATGTTAGGCCTCTACTTTTGAGTGCACTGACTTCAGGGCTTGGCTTTGGGATAAATGACAAGCTAGAGTATTAGTGCAAACAGAGGGAATTGATTCTATCCTCCAGAAGAAAGTAGCAAGAGGATAAATTCTCCAGAAATATAGAATTTCTTAGATTGAAAACCAAACACAAATCAGTGTCTAATCACATCAAGCCCCGTGTCTTTCACCTACATCTAAGAAATAGTGTCAATTGGGACGATCAATTAGATGGCTACATATGTGATGTGCATTTTACTGTGAAAATCGCCCAGTCCTTGGTGACTGCTTTTTGCTTAACAATATGAAAACAGAAGGCTAAACATTGGTAATCACTCGCACTTCAGAATATTACTTTCCTTTTAGAAATTCTTCCTAATCACGTGTGTGGGAAGAGAGGGGTGGGGGGAAGTCTTAGTGGTAAGGAATTGCACTTCCAACCCAGAGGTTGGCAGTTCTAATTCACCAATTTACCTGTGAGAGAGAAAGATGGACAATCTCCTCTCAAGAAATTTAATGCCTTGGAAAATCTACTGGAGAATCAGCTACGTATCCACTCTGGATAAACTATAAACAACAGCAATCCTTTTTTTCTCCGTAAAACAATTGCTTAGATAAAATTTTGTAGTCACTTGTCATTGTTTAGAAAAAAATATAAATTTTCCTGAGGTTTTGATTTTCCATGGAATAATTATAAAGTACATTTTTAGTTATTTCTTGTTCCTTAGATAGCTGTATATTCTTTACCATTTTAATCAGCACTGTTATATTTTTATCATGCAAATAACATGGAAACCAACAAGTACATTCAGTGTCTTCTGGATTGACATGACAATGGTTAAAGGCTTCGATTAGCCAAGAAATGTCTAGTCGTATTTTTGTTTGTTGCTTTTATGTGCTGTTGAGTCACTTGCGACTCATAGTGATACTATGTCCAACAGCCCTGAAGCCTGCTCTATCCTGTGCCAACTTTACTGTCTCTGACACACTTAGCCTCATTACCTCAGTCACTGCATCCATCCATCTCAACGATGGTCTTCCTCTCTTTCTCTATCCGTCCACCATTCTAAGCTTTATGTCCCTCTCCAAGGACCGGTTCGTCCTTGCAACATGCCCAAAGTATTGTCAGAAAAAGCCTCAGAATCTCGTCCTTGCAACATGCCCAAAGTATTGTCAGAAAAAGCCTCAGAATCTCGTCCTTGCAACATGCCCAAAGTATTGTCAGAAAAAGCCTCAGAATCTCGTCCTTGCAACATGCCCAAAGTATTGTCAGAAAAAGCCTCAGAATCTTCGCCTCCAAGGAGTAGGCTGGCTTCACCCTCTCTAGGATAAACCTGTTTTTTCTCCTGGCAGTCCATGGCATATTCCACAGTCTTCTCCAGCACCAACAGCTCAAAGACTTCGATTCTCTTTCTATCATCTCTAGTCATTGTCCAGCTTTCTGATATATAACAAGCAACTGTGGAGGTTATTATGTTCTCATTTTATAATAAAGAAGGAAAGTTTAAGAAGATTTTTCAACAACAGTACGTGCTCTCATTTGAATTAGGAACTACAGCTTCACAAAGGACCTGATTTCAAAGCACTAAAAGCTAGTGCAATTGTCCAGCCTACTAAGAGGCATTGGTTAAATTCTCCCTCAAATCAGAGAGGCCAATGGACTCAAACCCACAGTTTTCCCAACTTACGTTTGCCAAATTCTCCCTCATCTTCTAATAATCTAGTACCTTATTTTCTAAATTTAAAAAAAAAATGGAAAAGCAGAATGAGTCCATTCTTACTCATGATGGTACCATATATGACAGAGTAGGAGTGTACTATATAGGATTTTAAATAATTGTAATATTTCCAAATCAATCTTCAATCCTTTATTCTAAGGAGTCTCTGGGTGGATTCAAACTGTCAAACTTTATGCTAATAGTGACTTGTTTAGCCACTTGTGCCACTCAGGGATGTCAATTATTCCCTACTCTTGTTTCAATTCAACCTAGTCACCAAAATTGAACTTACAGACTCACATGTCTACAGGATTTGGGCAGGCAGCTTGAAAGAGCTAAGTGAATAGTGTCAGGTATACCAAACAAATATTCTCCTCAAACTTTCTGTATAATGGTTCCTTCTATCTACAGTTCTGTTTTTATTCCCATTCTGGAGTTTTCTAGTTTATCGGAGTTTTAAAACACATCCCAGAATTCAAGCATAAAAGAAGATAGGACGTATAGAAATAGGACGTGCCTGGGTACAGGATGCGGCTGATCATTCCTGGCATCACCATGAGGAACATGGGCAGCAGCTTCAGGTACCCACACATGATACAGGCGGCCTTCACATGAGACATGTTCTTGCCTGAGAGGCAGCGCTGCACAATGACCTGCCAGGAAAACACAACGTACTCATGAAACAAGCACAGGATAACGTCAAAGAAGATGAGTGTCTCTTTTCAGGATTTAAGGTTACATTAAAATGATGAGTGGTCTTCTCTCATTACTCTAAAGGGCCCCTTTGGCAGTAGGAAACACATAGGCTATTATGGAGATTGATCTTGGAATTTAGATGCACTGTTGTCAATTGTGCTTAGCCGTACATATTCATATCCTTGAAGATGTATCATGGAAGTGTTGCAGCCTAGAAGATACAAATTTAACTAACAAGTTAAAAGTGCATGAGTCAAAAATTGAAAAGCAA